AACTTAGTCCAAATACTCCAGAACTAAAACTTAGTACAAAACCTCCATAACAAAAACTTAGTCCAAATACTCCAGAATAAAAACTTAGTCCAAAATACTCCAGAATAAAAACTTAGTCCAAATACTCCAGAACAAATTACTTTTTATGAACTATAGGAAGATTTGTTTAAGTTTATGTGAAAAGCAGCTGTTCTTACACGAGATGAAACAGTGATAATATTATTATTTTTTCTCTGCCCAAGACTTGGAGCAGTTTATGAGAAAACAAACAAACAAACAAACAAACTGGCATTGTCTTGACATAAAAACAACACATTTGTCATTTGCACCAGTGACACCAGCTCGTAATTGTCAAAAACCCGTTTCCTAGTGATGACTGATGTTAGTGGATCATTACCACTAATTAAATGTTATAATCTTGTACTGCTGTCACCTTAACTGTGTCTGAGCTGTGACCTCACTGGTGCAGGGTTTTTTCAGAACCCACATGGAGAATTTCTCCTCTGTTTCTGTGGTAACAAACCAGTAGTCTCTTGGCTATGTGTTCCCCAGTAAGTTCTGGTTAACTACCCATTAGTTCCTGATTCGTTCCTCTTTGGTTTCCCATAAGTTCTTGATTAGATCCTCTTCATTTACAAGGTAACTAACCAGTAGTCCCCTAATAAGGCATGGTGGTATGTTCCCCAGTAAGTAATGGTTCCCCAGTATCTACCCATTATCTCCTGATTCATTCCTGAGGCGTTCCCTAGTCAAATTTTGTGTACCTTATTGTAAAGTGTTACCAATTAATCCATCCCTCCACCCGTGTCTTCATCAGCCCAAACATGTCAATGATTGTGTACTTGGTAACAAAACTTCATACAGTCTGGTACCATCAGGTTACTGACCTCATGCACCCGGTACTTACAGGGAACACTTGGCGTCTACCTGGTACTGTCAGGTACACAGTACGCAGTACAAACCCAGCCTTTATGAGTTGTGATAGTTCTCTGATACAGAAGGGGCACATACTTGGTATCTACTGGTACATACCTGTATGTACCGGTACTAACAAGGTACGTAATTCAAGAACTTTCTGCGTTCCTACGACGACCTGACATGTTTCTGCTGTTTTATTTACAAGTATCTGATTAAGTTTTAACAACAGGTACGTTGACCGATGCAGATTTATTTAGGCCGTCACCAAATCTTGTGCAGATAAAAAAGTAACTGTGTTTAATAATGATATTTTTACTAATCCTTCATTTTAGCAAGAGAAACTGAGTGAAGTTAGAATCTCAGTTACAACAGTGCTCGGGTCTAAACTGGCAACACAACACACAACAAAACAACTTTAATGACAATAACAAGTAATAAAATAAACTGTTAGATATCTTCTTAAAACAGGCATCGCCTGTACATAACTAAAACATAACTATTTAAATCTGATTAAACTCTTACAACCTGATAATCTTTTAAAATAATATATTCAATGAAACCAGTACCTTCATTTTTAGACTAGACTGGAGTTTAATTAGAATTGTCTGTTTTTTCACCTAAACTCTTATTTTTTTAGTATTTGTGTAAGTTCATAAATGTTTTCCCACTTTTGCAGCGTGTATTCTGTAAAACCGTGTTAAATCTTAGGAATGATTTAAGTGTGATTTTTAACGAGCACCTCTCTGCTTTTGTTCGACAGTGATCAGCAGGTGAAGCTTCATCCCAGTTCGTCTCCACCATCAACCCAAAGATGATAAATAATAAAACATTCATTAAAACATCTTGTGTTCCTCTCAAGAACCATTTATTGCTGCAGTTTAGTCCTTTATCTCCAGCTGAAACGTTGTGAGAACCACGTTTGAGACCGTTTAGTTATGCAGGTGTGTCGGTGGGCGTCTTCAGGATAAATAAACGAGGACGTTGAAATAAATCGAGCCTCATCACAGAGTTGTGTTTTCATCTGTGTCCACACAACTGGTCGAGTAAAGAGGTGCTGAGGCAGGAGTTTCTCTGAGTTCCTGCAGGAACCAAACTAATTAAGAAATGACAAGCGAGCGAGTGTTAATTAATTTACAGTTTAAGACCTGACAGAGGTTGATAAGACACCGACTGGCGCGCACACAGAGGTAATTGTGCTCATTAATCTGAGAGCGGTTCATCGGCTAACAGGGTGTGTGTGAGGAGGGTCGGGCGGAGAACCGGAGGACGTTATCTAACTCTGAAGTGAGGCTTTTTCCAAAGATTCTGCAAGTCAAGACAAAGGGATTAGACTTCCTGACCCGCAGCTGAAGAACCCCTCGGCTGTGATGCCGCTGACCTCGGCTTGACCTTCAAACTGCTCTGGACACGATGGAGACGGAGGCTCAAGTGTTCTTCTTGTCCCCCAAGACGAGCTGAGATGCTGGAATCAGCAGGAAGAAAACCAGTGAAGAACTCTGTAATGCAGCTTGAACCATTAAAGTTCTGATAATCTGAACAACAACAATCGCTCTCACTTCCTGGAAAACAGTGAAAACATTTGTCAAACTCTGCTCATTAAAGGGAACTGTAAAATATTTAGTTCAGAACTAGTTCAGTCGTTTCCATCCGGCTGCTCAGATTAAAGAGCTTTGTCTCTTTTCTTTGCCGAAGCTTATTTTTTATTCCACAGATTTAGATTTATGAACCAGCATCCGAACCTTTGTCTTTGTTAAATATAACACAAAAATAATAATAAGCCACTCAAACATTTTAATAATGCAAAGGTTGTGATAAATATTGGAGACATTTTGCTGATTTTGTTTAATTTTAGGCCTGAAGCAAAATATGTAGAAGTTCTGGTCAGTGTTTGGATCTGAGCTTCACAGAAATCTCTCTGATTCTCAGAATATTCACGTTTTGTACTGACAATAAAAAAGTATTTGTCACTTTCAAGACACCCAAATAAGAACTAAACAATTTAAAACAATAATCTGATAATAAAACAAAACTCCAATCAATTCCACCAATAATTTATGTTTGTGACTGTTTTTATTTTTAGGAGAAACGCTGTTAGTGGTTCTTATCATTCACTGATGTTTAAATGTCCGTCTTTTATATTAATGTTTGCATCTACTTTAGTTTCCCTCGTTCAGCATTTACACCTTTTCAACATCGTCTCCCCCATTTTGTACCATTTGTGTCATTAATTTACACAGAAAGTTACAAAACAAAATGTCTTAGTCACAAAAGGAAACGTGGAAAGTTATTTTTGTTTACGTCGATCCATTATCTTTACTTGTTGGTGGCCGTGGGGAGCTGGAGCCTCCGGTGTTCACTGGGCAGGAGGCGAGGCACACAAAGAGAAATGAGACCCGCACCCTCACAGCAACAATCAGACCCGAGGCTGCTCTGAACCTAACGTGGATGTTGTTGGACATGGGAGGAAGCCAGATTCAGTGATGGTGGCTGGACAGAAACCAGTACGACAAGGAATCCAAAAAAATGTTATGAACAGAAACAAACTCACGAGGCAGGTGGCAACAAGAAGTCTGGGTCTGAACAGGAACCGTGACAAGGACGAGAACCTGGCGCTGAAACCGAAGAACGAGGCACAACTCGAGACGTGATTGCTGAGTGAATGCAGCTGGGACGACTACAGATTTACTCTTTATTTATCCAGGTAGTCTCATTGAGCCACGAGAACTCATTTTCAAGAGAGACCTGTTTAGGGAGCGCATGGTGGGGGTTAAGGGTGGAGGCAGGTGTGGGTGTTTCACCTTTACCGCCCACATTTTGATGTTGACGGTACCGGGAGGTGAACCTGCGACTTTCTGATGACAGGCCCATCTTCTCTAACCTCTGCGCCACCACTCCCCGTGGCTGACAGGCAGAACAGAGGAGCAGAGAGAAGACAATGGAAGACACAAGAAAATACACGTGGCAGACCGGACAGAAAACAGATCAAGAAAACTGGAAAAAAAAACAAGCAGCTCTGCTGAATCCAGAACTAAAACGCCACAAAAACACAAAACATGACAAAAAAATAATCGTGCACACATTAAAAAAACATGCAAACTCCACCCAGATAGGCCCAAGCTGGGAGTCCAACCTGTAACTTCAGTGCTTACCCACTGCACCACTGCACAGAAAGTGATAAATACATAAATAAGTTGGGGGGAGTGGTGGCGCAGAGGTTAGAGAAGGTGGGCCTGTCATTGGAAGATCGCTGGATCAAGCCCCGGTACAGACAACATCCAAATATGTGGGTGGGGCAGGTGAAGCAAAATTGAAAATGAGTTCTCGTGGCTCAATGAGACTACCTGTATAAATAAAGGTTAAATAAAATAAATAAATAAATAATATAGAGCACAGAGAGGAACGACTTGCAGAATTCTGTCCTCTGAGTCAAGTGCTGCCTGAATGAAACGGACGCCCAGGAGTGACCCGGATCTGAACAGAACCGCATCACCGCTGCTGTTGTTGTTTTTCTTTCAGCTGCTCCCGCCTGCACCGTTCACCCCATCGCTCATGAAGGATTTGGCAGTTGTCTGCCACCAGATGCTCTTCCTGACACAACCTGGGCTCGAACCTGCGGCTTCAGGATTACGAGACCGCAGCGCCGCCCCTGAAGTCCAAAACATGAGATTTAAAAACGTGTCAAGTTCCATTTAATGAAACTTTACATAATTTAAATATAATAATGATGCCCATGATAATGTCTGTTTTATTTTTGATGGCACCTTAAAAACATAAAGTTGAACAAAGAGCTTTAGAGGTCGTTTTAAAGACAACCAGGAACAGCCACCAATAAAACAAATACAATAAAACCAATAATTAAAAACCAGCGAAACAAACAAGACTAATAGGAAACCTCACAACATAAAAAGGACTCAAATCAGCGTTTGGATCAGTTTGAAGGATCTTTCTCCACGAAGCCTCCGGCCTTCAGCAGATGTTAGCGCCGCCTCATGTTGGACCTGAACCCACTCTCTGCAGGAACACAGTGATCTAGTCAGGAAGCTGATCTGAACACAGTCTGCAGGTGTTTGGAGGTGTCTAACAAACCCAAATGGTGCATGCTCCCACTCCTGCTGGACCTCATGAGCCCACTGGGTAAAGAAACCTGCAGCTGCCAGAACCTCAACCTGGTTCAAGTCATAAAACATTTCGCTCACTTTCAAGCCAACGTCATTATTTAAAAGAGCTCAGCACACCACAGAGCAACGTTACCCCTGGGCCTCAGAGTGGAACCTCGGTGACGAAACGCCCCGGGTCAGGAGTTTAATACCCCGAACCGCAGGCTCGCTGCGGTTCTGACCATCTTGTAGCAGCTCTCCAGTGGCTCACCAGTCAGCCTAAAGAGCCATTAACGCCTCCTGCAGTGAACACGATGGATATGATGTTTGGGGTTTTGGTTGGAGGCGAAGCCGTCTACTTAATGACCTTTGGGCTCACGGCTCAGAACTTATGGATCACACCAGCTGCGCTGACTCGACTGTAAATATAATCTGCTTCATAAACGCTGCAGGGATTTTATGTTGGTTTGTTTTCACATGAAGTATTGGCACATGGGGGACAGCTTCGGGCTTGAATGTTGTTGTTTTGATCCAGAGATGAAAAACGTGGACCGCGGTGTTGCTGCGGAGCAGATCGTATCAAGCTGATGCGTTTTACGGTCGAAGCGGCGATGAAGGTAATAACCAGATGGAGCGGCTTTAAAAGAAAATGTTCATTGGGTTTACAAGTTTCATCTTGGTACCACATTCTGCTTCGTTCGTTTTATTCAGAGATCAACTGACTTCAGCATGAGCTGCCCGCCTGCCCTTTAATAACTCAGCATTCTGAACACAAAGTAAAATGGAGGAGTTTATAAAAGCAATCCAGAGCTTATCATCTAGTTGTAGTCTTAACTCATTTATATTATTGTTGTCTTTCTTCTTTTCTTGAAAGTCAGAACTCTGGGAACGTCAAACTTGATTTAGTTCAGGTTGTTGGCGTTCGTACTCAATCCCCAAGCTAACATTCATTAGAAATACACGGCTTCTATATTTTTAATATAAATTTATTTTGCCTGAATACGTTGCAGCGTTAAATATTTGTTAGTGTTTATTGTGAAAATTTGACGGACAACCTCCTGCTTTTGGAAGCGCTGAAGTATCTGGACGTCTTCTTCCTGACTGATAGTAGGATGGAGCGGGAGATGGATCGACGGCTCGGGGCCTCGTCCTCAGTAATGAGGGCGTTGCTTCAGTCAGTTGTGGTGAAGAAAGATTTGAGTCTGAAGGCAACACTCATCATTTATGTTCCACCCCTCATCTGATGTTTGAATCATGACTGAAAGAATGAGATCCTGGGACAAGCGAACCAAAAGAACTTCAGTCGCAGGGTAGCCAGGCTCAGACTTGGAGAGGGGGAGGGGCTCCATCATTTGGGGGCGGGGGCATGGAGTAGAACTGCTGCTCCTCTGCATCAAAAGGAGTCAGTTGAGGTGGTTTGGGAATCTGTTAAGGATGCCTTACCTTTGTAGATTTTTCTGGCATGTCTCACTGAGAAGAGACCCCGGGTCAGACCCAAAACTCACTGGAGGGATCCTCAATGGCTGCAAACACCTTGAGGTCCTCCAGGAGGAGCAGGAGAGCATCTTTGAGGAGAGGGAGGTCTGGGTTTCTTTATGGAAATCAATATTAGACTCTCATCTGACAGTCACTTCAGATCAGTTTTAAAATGTACTTTTGTTAGTCACTGATCTTTCAATAGTTACTTATACGTATGTTCTAAGTCAGTATTTTGCAAAGCATTGTGGTCTACATGGGGACTTGCC